CTGCCTATAGTCTCCTTTCACATTAACGAAAGCAGAGAACTCATTAATTTGCAGCTCAAGTGCTGCCTCTAGCTCCCCAGCTTTCCCCTTTGCACACAGAGCCCTTTGCTATCAAACCCGGAGAGCCAGACTGAGCAGATTTCAGTTGCCTCAGAGGCATCTGCTGACACCTGGAACGCACCAGTATATTCCACTTGGTCCCCACTGCCAACCCCCTGTGCAAGGGTACCGATACAAGCCTTCCTGTACCGAGCACCACAACACCACAGAATCACCACGGGTGTTTTCATGTGCTTCTACGGTCATTACAACACGCACTTTGCTGTGGTACACATGCTGTGATGCTCTGGCGTGTTTATACTACAATATATTACATAATCTCAGCTATTAGTAAGGAGAGCTCAAGCCAATTACCAGGTTCAGTAACCACAGTTAGGTTGCAGTCATTCACAGGAAGACCATGCACTAACTGAAAAGTTACTCCTGACAAGGAGTTTGAGGAACTTAGATTTTGAAAGTTAACACAGGTGCTCTATGCATCCATTTCTCTTAAGGATATCTTGCAAACTTTCTTCAGAGAAAGCCTCCTTATTTGTATTCTATCCCAAAACAACCCTGGAGCAATAAAGCAGCAATAGCTACTTCCGTTGTACTAAAAGGACTTTAGTCAAACGATGGCTTCTTTGCTAAGTGATTCTGAACTAAGCTCTCATACTGAGTCAGATCAGGCAAAGGAAATGCATGAGACTTCCCTATTCCTACAGAGGAACTGAAGTTTGCAAAGTCTCCCTCCTCGTACGTAGTAAGATGTTAACATTCCTCAGCACTTCCAAAACGTTTACCCTGACGGCCATAGCCCAAGTTTCCCTCCAACTGACTGTCCCTGCTTGCACTGGCAACACACACCTGCACCTGGGGATGCAACTGCACAAAGAATTAAACAGACAGCACTAACAAGACGTGCGTGTTAGTTTTTAGTGACGGTAGCATTGTAATCATAACGAGAAGTGCTGCTAGCATTCCTACCGGCTGTCCCCAGTTATGCCTGACGTCCGGCTGGTCCCACTGGTACCAGGGGTCTCTCTCATGAGCGGACTTATCAGGGAGCTTGGGATAGTCACCAAACCTGGGAGAAACAGACAAAAAAAACCAAACACACAAGAAATCTGTATTAATTTAGATACGTTTTGTAGGAGACACCATAGGATAGGCCTATGGAAACGGAAAAGTTAAACATTACTTTGTTTTTATAGCTCCTATGTATATACACTTTTTAAACGCATACATGTGGCTAGCACAACAATCATCACCTTGATACCAGTCATTGCAACAAATAGCGCTCCTCAGAGTGGCCTTTTGGGGCTATACTAGCTGGAAGAAAATGCAAGCTTAACCGAAATACAGAACCCTCGTCGCCTTGCATTACAACAGCGCATGAAGTCTCTCATACAGTATTTTACTCACACAGGCCTCCAACTCATTCCATTTGCTCCAGTTTTAAAACACCCATGCGTGCCTCCAAAGCCCTAAGCTCACAGCACAGCATCTCCAGGCGTTCAACAGAGACTACCAGCCTGCAGCACCTCCCCACAAAGCCGGGAGGTGCTGGCCTTGGCCCGCCCCCCCGGCTGCAGGGGCGCGGGACCCCCCCCAGCTCACCCAAAGCCGTCGTCGGGGTAGGGCTCGTAGTCTTCCACCCGCATGTTGTACTTCTTTGCGGCAGCCGCCCGCTCCTCCGGTGTCCGGGGGTACGGCCCGGGCATCAGGTCCTTGGACATCTCCGAGGCTGGCGGGAGAGCAACAAGGCGGGGTGGCCGCGGGCCCCG